AGTAATTGCATAAATCGTTGGTAGTAATATTAAATAGATGGCATAGAGAAAAAGAATAATTTCAATCTGTGCATTATTAAGCTACTGTATATACTCACTTATAAGACCCCCGAGTTTAAAAAGATTTTGGGACAATTTTTGTATGTCTGGCGTATCAGACGACGCTTCCCCTAAAGCGCAATATTGGCCATTTTGATCAATATTAAGGCTTTGATTTGAAATATGAATATTAGAGTGAATTTGAAATGGATTAGGACCAGCAGCATGCTGGCATTTAATGAGGACACATGTTGTTGGGGGTAGAGACACCAACAGAGAAAATACCACTGAAAAGTCATGTGAATGTGGTTTTGCTATTATTGGTTCCTATCATTATGCTGTAAAAGCAGTAGAAACTTCTGTAATCATCCCTGCATGTGCGTCTATGACGCTGACGTAATGAAATTCCTCGAAAGTTAGTCAACAAGCAAACTTGAACTTCCAAACGCCTTTGATTATTAATTTTTGCATACATGTATCGTGGTATTGGTCATTCAGTAGCAACATAGTTTGTATTTTTTTTTTAATATAAAAAAATTGCTATGTCTTAACACAAGAAATATCAGTTTCAAACCCCAAAATGACCAATATTGCACCTTTCTCTGGGTGTGAGCCATGCTGGGAAAAGGGATGCACTGTACTTCAGTGAAGTATTCTTCTGGGACTGGAAAAATATTCCATTCAATTGTTTTTTTTTTTTCAAATGAACATATAGTCATGATAGATAGACCAAAATATTTACATGAACAAACAAAATATATTCTCTAGAATTTGAAATAATTTTTGGTAAGCCGGGGATTTACAATATTTGCAATTTTACTATCCTATAGTGGTACTGTAAACAGGCTGGTAAATAATAAAAATTGTTAAGTAAAATATGTTACAATTTTACTATCCTATAGTGGTACTGTAAACAGGCTGGTAAATAATAAAAATTGTTAAGTAAAATATGTTGCAATTTTACTATCCTATAGTGGTACTGTAAACAGGCCATTAAATCATAAAAAATGTTATTTATAAAAGATGTAAAATTAATCTTTGTAATACTATTCTGCCATTTAATATGTTTCCACCATACCTTAGTCTTTGACAACAATCTTTAAGAACATTATTATTTTCCATGGAAAAATGATTTGTGTTTTGGAAAAAAGAAAGCAAATGGTAAACTGTTTCATTAGGCTCCATTTGATGAGGGTGGGGATGCAAAAAAACCCCCAAAAACTGGCAACTATTACTCATATAATTTGGCCTTAAAGTTTCAATAGTTATAAACTACTGTAGCAATTAATTTAAATTAATTAATTAAAAGTGTGATATGCCCATATATGGACATGATGACATCACAGCATGACCATATATAGGCATAGCATTACTATATATGGGCTTGTCACATTTTTTTGTCAAAGAAAATTTGATAGTGTGGATAGAGCTTAAGGCAAGACTTTTTATTCTTTGTTTCGCGTACTTATTTTTTTAAAGATCATTGGAGGAAGGCGGAATAAAAATAAAATTTTGTTTTCTTATTTAGCAAATAGTTTTGCCAAAAATATTCAGACAGAGGAGAAAATAAAATAACATTTTATTGGTGAATGTAAAACAGAATAGTAAAATGCCTAATATTTATATAATTAGGAAGAAATATACATATTTTATCTTTGGAGATTTCAAGGCAGCGAAGGGCGTAATAAAATTTTTAAAAAACTTTTATTTTTTTCTGAAATTTTATCGTGGCGGCGGCAAGTGTGCTAATTGGCCAAAAAATAAAATGCTATTCTTATTTGAAATCATTAATATTTGCAGTCGGCGGGTTCGCTAAACAAGGTTATAAAAAAGTCTCACCTAAAGAGGAATTACTCATGTTGTTTTTCACATTAATTTTTTATGATACTTGATTTGAGTGAAGCAAGACAGAGAGAACCATTGTCAGGTTGAGCAGCCACTGCTAGTCTCCCAAAGGCCTAATAATAAATCATCAACCACTGGGAAATACAACAGCCTGAGAAAACATCAAGTCACCATACCTGTCATTCCAACCCCATTATTAATTGCTAACTGCTTGTTAGGCCAAACAAAATTAAAATTTGCTAGTTTCATGCCCCTCCCTCATCCAGTGAGTGTCATGATAAAAACTATTGTCAAAAGAGGCAGAAGAAATACATTACAAAATTTGTATTAGTAATATCAGCCTGTTTAGTGTTTATCAATAGGATGTAAAAGCAAATGGTATAATACCTTCACCAAAAATAATTTCAAATTCCTGACGTGAAAATAACAATTAATTTTACTTGGCCTTAAGTGAGATTTTATTTCTTAATGAAAACTTGTTTCCTAATGTTTACAGTACTATTAAAGTTGTATAGTTATAGGGAAGTCAGTGTCCTTAGAATTTCAAATATGTATCGTTTCTTTTGAATTATGTGTTTTGAAAAAAATTAACCGAATAAATATATATTTAACAATGTGCAGGCTGGTTTGAGAGATCAATTTATTTTATTATTATATGCTAAGTTCTTTCCACACTATTTTATGTGACAAACACCCATTGGTCCCTATACATGACATGCATTTTTTTTAATAAACAAGTAAAATTTTGCCCAGGCTCAGTGTTTTTGTGTTAATTTCAGGTGCAAAATGTACTTATTTTGTTATTATTATTATTGTACTGCAGTATATTACTGAATTGTATTATAGAATGTATCGTACTGTAGTCAAACCCAGGGCCTACTACTGTACATGTAAGGTACAGATAAGCCCAAAATAATTTTACATCAGAATCAGTTTGTTCATATTTCGTTATTATTTTTTAAGCATTTTCAGTGTTCTTATAAAATGTGTTCTTATTAAGAAAAATGTGTAGTACCAAGGAAGACACGTAGTACAGTCCATCATTATGCCCATGTACTGTATTTTTTTATTTTTTTTTTTTGGTAACACATTTTAAACATAGAACAGATTGTAAATGATGTCTTTATTGTGTTCTGCAGTTATTACATGCGGAAAAACAATGAAAGAACTGAAAATCGATGTACAGTGCTGTAAATCAGATTTGATGTCTTACTACTGGTTCTACTGTTTCAGCAAACAAGACTGTCAAAGGAGGGCAGAAAAATAAATAGAAATAAAATCTGTTTAATATTACTGTAGATCTATAGTGATAGGGTTTTCCCCCAAAGAAGGAACTACTATCTCTGCCACAACATGGTTGGGCCCGAGATAGGAAATTTTATGTCTTATGTCACTAAATTTTAATGTAATTATTTCCCCATAACATATTCTTCATAACTTTAGCTGACTGGGTCCCTCCTTAAATTCACCTGTTCACAACATTTCTAACAGATTGATAACAACAGATTCCCCATGCTGATACAATGTCATGGAATCTTAACACGGGGACAGTATGTATTGTCACAGAATAAGTGACGTCTGTTCCTGTTGGCAACTAGCTAAGTATTTTTCATGCTAATATTTTTTAATGATATCCAGTGTCATTTTCCTCATTATAAGCATGAGAAGAATGTAAACAAAAACAATGATGTTTTTGTTTGATTTGCAGCTTGTTTTCAATAATACCACATGGGCACATCTAGAGACCATGACAAATATACAGTTTACATGGAAGTGATTTTCATGATCAGAATCTTTTTGCTAGGTTTTGGTATGTTGGTCCCTAGTGTGAATGGGCCAAGACTGTGCCTAGAATCTCAAGTAGGCCGTAAAGGAAACAGTTTGCAGCTATTTTTTTTAGGAAGAAATGTTTTAATTTGTTTTAGTAAAATTTATAATAAACTCAGACATCTTTACATGTATAATACTGTACATACAAGAGATAGTTAAAATTACCATGGAAATATAAAGCTATATTAAATATATTAAATTAAAAAAAAGTCAATTTCAAAAAGCTTTTATCCTGTAGCTATAGGCAGCTATAAATTAACAACTGAATTTTATTATTGTTATATTATATTATTATTATTATTTCTCTAATAATGGATGTGTTTTTTCTGTCTTTGTTTTGTAACTTAATATTTATAGTTTTAATTTATACTTTTGTATTGTAATTGTAATTTTGTAATTTACACAACCATCATATGAAATTCCAATGTAATTTAACAAATGGCAAATAAATCAAACTTGAACTTGAATAAAACAACAAATAGCTACACTTACAATGGTATAGACACACTGTACTAGGCTCTTGTAAAAATTAAGAATGACAGAAAAAAGCATGAAGCAAATAGGCCTAACCTTAAAGAAACCAAATTGAAATAGCATAAATTTAATAAAAAGCAAGTTTACTTCCAAGTGGAAAAAAAGGTAATGCTTCTACAAAATACTGCAATGAAAGAAATAATAATTTAAGTAAAATGATCCACAGAGACAAAATGGAGCTTAAATTTATGATAAAGTAAAGTTATCGTTTCCAATTGAAAAACTGGAGCAGGAAGATTTTAATGAATAGAAAAAATGGCTGCAAAAAAGGCCCCGAAATAAGAAATACCCAGATACCTATTTTAATATCACATAGGCTAGATAAAATCAGTTTTATTACTAAATTTTATCATTTGGGCCATTTTTACTCTGTTATTTTTTGGGCAAGTTTTACTGGAGCCATTTTTTCCTGGGCCTTTTTTTTGCAGAGGATGGGGGCACATTTTTCCTGTCCTGTTACCATTTATGTTCATGTTCCACCCCTTCTTAGGCTTTGACAACAATCTTTCAGATCGTTATTATTTTTTATTTTCCTTGGACAAAATGATCAATTTTAGAAATATAAATGAAAAAAATTTAGAAATATAGCAAATATTCATTTCATTATCATGTCAATCAAGACAATAACCTTTTGCCATGAGGCTCAAAAATTTGATGAGAGCAGAGACATGAATGAAACTAGTAATTCATTTTATTTGACCTTAACAGAGCCATTATATTGCAAAACTTTAATACATTACAATTTTCAAGTAGCCTACATTTTGTTGTACTGGTGTCAACACATAACCTATAAACACTGATCTAGGTCTGAATGATTTCCTACTGGATAGTGTCATTAAACATTTTGCCTGATTACATAATAATCACTTATTACACTTGTACTATTGTGTAACAGTAAGCTCCTACATGCTCAGTTCAGAGCCCTAGATACGCCAGTGACAAAGGAACATCAATACACATTCACAACTAATACAAGCCTGGAACAAAGGAAAGTGTTGGACCCAGATTTCTGTTGTTGTTTATTCCATTGTTAAAATTCAATATTTCATTGGCAAAATAGAAGATTTGGTAAGCTGTACAGATAAATATTTGTGTTTTGAATTATGGGCACGAGGTAAAGAGTGTTCATATCACTCATGGACAAATGATTAGATTGATCATTGATTCTGTGATGGCCAGCAACCACTTAGGAATAAACCTGGAAAAACTAAATCTTGTGGAGTAAATGGTTAGTAATTTTATTTTAATTTGAAGTACCTGTATTACTGTAGTATTGGATATCACTTTGCTCTTCCTAATGTGTATATTCTGGTTATTATTAGTTTGCCCTACAGACACTTACAATCTTAAAAAATAAAAATAATAATAATAATAATAATATTAATAATAATAATAATGTCTTGTATATTTTATACAGATTTGACAAGCATTTAATTTCTTTTTGTGATTGATTATACAAATTATTGTGACTATTATATAGTGACTCATACACATCATATATTGTTTAATCGGTTCGCCATTGTAATCAGGGATCTAATGTGCATACTTTCATATATACCACATGATTTTATCATTGTTTCTTATAAATCAGGAAAAACAACACAAAAAATAGATTACAGTATATCAACTTCAATGGTATATTGTAGAGAAATAAGTCAATTAAAAACACATGTTAATCAGTTTTTATCAGAAAACTGATTAACACACTGGAATAGTACAGTAGGCCTGTTAATTGCTAGGGCAATTTTTATCCTCTCATTTTTTCAGTTTATATAAATATAACATTATGTTGTGGCATTATTCTGTGCACTGAAATTTGGTTGTTTTATAAGAACACATTTTATAAGAACACCTGAGGTAAAACGTCAAATCAGTTAAGTTTGCATTTAAAAGAACTATAAAAACCAACAAATCAAGACAGTCACAGCAAAGTATTAATATTAAAAAAGGTTATTGTAAGTTGTTCTTGGTTTTATCTGTACCTATGTGAATGTGTAGCCCTATACAGCCTCTATCGGGCTGATTTCTATGCAGTAATACGATTAATTTGCTATCTTTGGGTGTGTTTCTACTGATAAACACAAAATAATCGATTTTTTGAAACCATTTTTTTAATGAGTACCAGACAGCCTGCTGGAGTTGCAACTGCATTTTTTTATTTTTCGAAAATCGGTTTTCGTGATGGATATTACGTCACCATTTTGTTTATACAACACATTGTTTTCCTGTATAGGATAGTATTTTTCTCATTCCTGTCATGATGAAAAGGAATACAGTAAGATACGATGTGGGGCGAGAAGGCAAATGTTTTCGGCTGTGCTGCATCGGCACAATTTTGAACGACGACCAAACGAGGACAACGGTAGGCCCAAAAGAGCAGAGAGTCCTAGGCCCAATACCCCCCCCCCACAAAATAATTACAAAACGAATTCGTCCCTCCTCATGTTTGTTGACGTTTTTAGCTTGTAGGCCTAGGACAAGGACAAGAGGACAAATTTTTTTTGAAAGTTCGCACCTCAGAATACGATCTAGTCTTTGCAGTGATTGACCTGGAGGTCACATTTCACCTGATAATCGCCTTTTTTTGTTGCAGCTAAAAGGTACACAGCCAAAATCGGTTATTTGCCGTTCAAACACGTTATAAATTGCGTGTTTTTCATCGATTTTTTTAAATCGCTTTTTTCAAACTAGTCCCGTTTCTACTGCGAGAATAAAAGCGATTTTTCGAAAAAATGCTTATTTCTTTCCAGTAGAAACAGGCCCTTTGAATAGTGTCGGTATATAATAATAAGAACAAAATAAAAACAAAATTTGGAGTCTGAAATTGACATTGAGCCTTGGAAGAATTTTACTGGTTCTGAATAATTAAAATATTTTCTCAATATAATTGCTATAATTAATAAAACATTTGCTTTATTTGTCTGGTAATAATATTAAACAATTCAAAATTGTCTGAATAATTAAAAATTATCTTATAAATTCCAAATAAAATTTCATGGAAAGCACAGAACATGGACGCCTGGGAAATTAAACAATTTTGTTTACCATGAATTAAGGAAGAGAAGAAAATGTGTGATCTATTAACTGTGACAGATCTATATTGTCATTTCAACTACACTCATTATGGTATTAGGAATAATTTGCATAGTTAATTAATCATGGATGATGTGTCTCCTATATTTAAAAGCTAATTATACCTTGTGTATTGATTCCCTTTATGATAGGAAACAATGGCTCTGCATTAATTAAGTGTGTTCAGGACAAATCAACAATAAAACCAGTGTTTTGTATGAGCTCAAGATTTTGTCAATAATTTTTTATTATAGTAAAAGATTTTCTTCACTTTTACAAATTTATTTTATAATTATAATAATATTACCGTAAATTAAATCAAAATTAATTTATTCATCATCAAAAACACACATGAAAAGGAAATAATAGTAATATACTCTTATAAACACAATGTAGGCCTATACATTTTTTTTTTTTACTTATTTAGATCCCGATTCAATTTCATTTTTTCCAATAAAGACATTATATTTATTTTATTCCAAAATAAATGGAAAAGTGATAATATTGTATGTCTGTGTTTGTTCTACACAACAAATCTCAGCATCCCTCATGTTATTACCCTGCTATGATGCTTTGGAAAACATACTCCGGGGGGGTTGGGGTGGTCATCCATTTGCTACATAATAAATCAGTGCATTGGTAGTCAAACTTTCTAGTCGCCAAAAATACTCATGGGTGGAGGATCCTGTGTGGGATCCCAATCAGTAGTGTTTACAGTATTGCAACACGCAATGCTGCCCTCTATGAGTAATCGTGCTGGATACACATGGTTACCAATTGAGAGGTGTTGAATGAAGTCCATAGTTAATACCTAATCAGTCTATTCCTGTTATTGTGGTGGACTAATAACTACGGTACTAACAATAGGTAGATAAGTGATTGGTCTAATGCACAATACAATATTACTGTATGCAGTTACTCTAGTCAAACTGTGGCTAATACAGTAAGTACTATAGTATTCCACCACTATGCAAGTGATCCGTACATTAATTACTGCATCTGTGCTGGTCAAAAGAGAAAAATCTGTTATTTTTTTTTTGCTAAAAATATGCAGAGTACAGTATATGAAGAAGTATGTTAGGGCTAATTTTAATTTTGTTATTAGTTAATTTCATTTGATATTTGTAATGTTTTATTGTGTTTTATCTTGCATTTTCTTGTTCATTTAGTTTGATTTTAATTGTATTTCTATATGTAATGTACAAGTATTTGTACTTGTATATTTTTATTTATATTTGATAAGTGGTGTTATTTTGAAGAAATTTAAATGTATCTTTTGTAGGTTCCAAAGTCTGCAGGTACCCCTGGTGTCAAGGCATGGTGCAATGTTGCTGATCAAATTAAATCAATAAAATTAAATGTAAAATGAAAGGAATGAATTTCAAATAATTTCCATCATGTTTTTTTTATAATTTTTCAGTTTGGTCTCCTTTAAAACATGATGCCTTGGTGTATTCGTGGTGGACTTGCATTTGCTCTGATTCTTCTGACGTTTCTAAGCCATGAGTGTTCTTCTCAAAATACTACAAGTAATGTATTCACCTGTAATTTATAACAAACTTGACGATGTAGCATTGCAATAGGAACAATTTTTATGATAATTTAGGAATGACATTTTGGCTTTGAGTATTTTGGCATAACAATTTGGGACATAACATTGATTATACCACTTACTGTAACTGATTATACCCATATCTCTTAATTTAAAACAATTTTTAGGAAATAATAAACATGTAATTTCAATGCTGCAGTAATTTCCTCATAATCTATTGACTTGTGTGTGATCTACAATTATTTTCGGTTTGGTTCTTTTTTTTAGGTACAGTATTTTGATAGGGTAAAGGTAGGATCATAACCCATATCTTGCAGTGTCAATGTGCTGAATTGCAGCCATAAAGAGGTGCTTATAGTAGCTACATGTTCACATCATTCAACAGTGGCAGGGGCTGAAATGAACCATAACATCGGGGTAATTCCCCACTCATCTGAAAGATGCAATGGGTTATTTAAAGTGCACACGAGCCAGGGGTATACACTGGGTCTCCATTTTAAGTCCTTATTCGAGAAGACTTGGTTCTACCAACCTGGACGAGGAGCGGCTGGAACCATCGCTGATGTTAAGGCTATAGCTAGCGGCGCCCCGCCTTAACACTCGGCCATTCGACTTGTTGGATTAATTAGATGATAGATTAATTATATATGAATTATATATAAAGAATGTAATATGTTTATTATGGTTTATTTCTCAGATGAAAATTACTTCTCAACCATTGAATACCAGTCTACTGACAACATATTTAACTCCAGTATTATTCAAGTAACGAACAATGAAAATGTAGACAATGTGACTGCTTTCACACAAATGACACCAAATAATGTTACAACAGAGTCTAATATCAGTCACATGACAGAGATAATGGAGTCGTCACTGGAACCATCACCCTCATGGGAAGTGATGTATACAAGTTATTTTGAAACATCATATTTTCTAGAATCATACACAATAACATCTGAAGATTTATATTTTTCATCCTTAATATTGTCTACACCAAAGCTCCGTCCAACACAGTCTTCTGATATGACAAGCATAATGACTGAATATTTTGAAGGTAGTAATATGTTTTCAACTAACATTGCAAAAACTTCAAATGATTTTGCTTCTTTTGCGGCTGTTATGGAAACCTCTAGTTTACCATTACTACCAGTTACAACTTCTTCAGACATTCCAATGGTTTCGCCATCATCAGTAATAGTGCCATCTTCTTCATTGGCTGTGGTTAGCACTTCTGCTTTGACAGTTGCAGTAACAACGAGCCCAGAAGGTCCAACAAAATCTCTTAAAGATTTCAAATTCACCATGAAAATGAATGGAAATTGCGACAATGTTAAAAGTGACGAAGACTTGTTCAAAAAAGCATGTATTGATGCGATTACAGAAAGGACAGGCGTCATTAAGAACCAACTGATGATTAATGACCTCCGCTGTGGTTCAGTTGTCTTGGATTTTACATTCTACGATAAAACAGAAGAGGACAATGGTGCTGAAATGCTAGAAATGGCTTCTGAAGAGGAACCACTGATCATCAGTTTCAAAGGGGAAGAATATGTTGTGGTGGAAGTTACTGAGGTATCTTTGACACCCACAAAGAGCTCTGGTGGTTTAAGTATCGAAGATCAAAGACTACTGATTTACTGCGTGGCTGGAGGGCTCTGCGGCTTTGTTGTTTTACTTGCCATCTGTTTGTGTATCAGTCAGTGTTGCAAAAACCGACATAAGAAACGCAAAGAAGATATTCTCTTTCAGGGTGAGCACCTGACAAAGTTGTCTGACATGAACCTCACCACTACCATCATTCCACGACCTAAGAGCATCTACGGCAATATAGGCAACTATGAGACCCGTTGTAGCCTGTTTGCGATAACCAACAACTACTACTATTATAACAATGGAGCATTCATGTTCGATGATGAAAGCGATCCCAATAGTGGGATCATGACTGCTGATGGGGAAGGGGAAGGTGGAGTCATGGTTGCTGTGGAAGTTAATGAACCCACTACTCCTGGTGCTAAGGCGAGTGAACAGTTTGGGATGAGTGGCATTCCTGATTGGAATTTACCACAACTAGAAGGTACAGAAATCTGTGTATACAGAGACAGGCATAAGTTTGTCCTCCATGATGGAAATAAATAGGAGTTAAAATGATTATTACAGTAGAACCGCAATTAAGGGGACACCCTCAGGACCAAAAAGAGTGTCCCCTTAATAGGCGTGTCCCAAAGGAGGGGACTCTACTGTTTATTTTAAATTAATATATGTTGATGTATTGTTATTTTCTTTATTATTATTTTTATTACTGTCATTAGAAGATTATTAAATATCTTATTACTTGTTATAACTGTACTCGGGGGTGGCCTCCCCGCTGGGGAGAAAAAGCATGATTTGTCGGGGAAGAAATAATTATATGTATTTTCTACATATTAGTACATATTATAGTACGACCACTTTGCTTTCATCGGGGAAATCTGACCCCTCGTCGGACAAATCCTGGCACCACCCGTCTGTACTGTACATGCAGCAATACATCATCATCGTGGATTGCTTTAATTGTTAGTAAAAAATATTGCCAATATAATTCCTTATTATTATTTTTTTTTTTTTTTTACTATATTTGAAGTATATAAATCTACTCCTGGTGCTAAGGCGAGTGAACAGTTTGGGATGAGTGGCATTCCTGATTGGAATTTACCACAACTAGAAGGTACAGAAATCTGTGTATACAGAGACAGGCATAAGTTTGTCCTCCATGATGGAAATAAATAGGAGTTAAAATGATTATTACAGTAGAACCACAATTAAGGGGACACCCTCAGGACAAAAAGAGTGTCCCCTTAATAGGCGTGACCCAAAGGAGGGGACTCTACTGTTTATTTTAAATTAATATATGTTGATGTATTGTTATTTTCTTTATTATCATTTTTATTACTGTCATTAAAACATTAATTAATATCTTATTACTTGTTATAAGATTTGAGGTAAATTGTTACCTCAAATCCAGGCAATTACAGTATCGACCCATATCAGTCCTTCCTGTAATATAAAAATTATCGAAAAAGCCGCGCATGATCAACTTTACACATATTTAAAAGGAAAATAAATTACTTTATGTCACTCAATCTGGCTTTAGGCCGTCATACTCAACGTCCACTGCACTCATCAATGCCACTGAACAATGGTACAGTTGCATTGATGAAGATGGTAGGATTATGCCTTTTAGATTTCAAAAAAGCATTCGACACAGTGAATCATAATATTCTTTTACAAAAATTAAAATTGTACGGCATTGGCAGATTCGCAATAAACTGGCTTAAAAGCTATTTATCTGAACGAACTAAAATTACTGAAATTAACAATAAAAAATCGAAACCTAACATTATAAAATGTGGTGTACCACAAGGATCAATTATTGGCCCCCTTGCGTTTCTCATTTATATAAACGACCTTCCCAATAAAATAAATAAATGCGAAATTAGCATGTATGCAGATGATACTATAATATATTACGCAGCAAAAAATGAAAATGAAATAATTGAAACAATAAACCAAGATCTTGAACATATATTTTGTTGGTTAAAATCGAACAAATTAAGTCTAAACATATCAAAATCACAGTTCATGATACTTGGCTCAAGGCAAAGGCTTACAAGTAACAGTAATACAAGTTCAACAGTTCAGATAAATGGCGATCCCGTTCCAAGAGTACAGAGTGCAAAGCATCTAGGAGTAATAATTGATGAAAATCTTACATGGGACTGTCATGTTAATCATATTAGAGAAAAGGCCCTAAAAGGCCTATGTATGTTAAGACGATGCCATAATATGTTCCCAAGAAATGTACTAATCAACATTTCTAATTCATTAATCATTTCTCACTTAACATACTGTATTTTGGTTGGGGGAAATTGCGGAAATACCTTGATGAAAAAGTTACAAACAATTCAAAACAGGGCAGCTCGGATTGCATGTAACCTAAATTGGGATGAATCCAGTCAACTAGCATTAAACTCAGCAAATTGGATATCATTAACTAAAAGAAATGAACTGGAACACTTACTTCTTGTATTCAATATTCTAAAAGATCGCGTACCACTTTATTTATCACATTTAATACTGTACAACACACCTAATTATAATTTTCGACATGGTAACCTTAATATGTACGTTCCAAAACCGAATACTGAATACAAAAGAAACAGCATATCTTACAAGGGCCCTGTTTTGTGGAATAATTTAAACAGAGATGAAATAAATCCCTCTATGTCATTTAATCAATTCAAAAGAAAAGTCAAAGAAAAGCTAACTAATACTAGGCCTTAATTAATGTCTAGTCTCATGCAATCATTATAATAATGCAATTTACTACTATTCAATTCTAACATGCATTTTTTTTTTGTTTTTTTTGTTGCAATTGTTTTTAAGACAACAAACTTTTAAACTTTAAACCTAATTAATTTAGGCAAAACTTTTAACTTTATGCTTGCTTTTATATTATTCTTATCGCGCTCGAACTTGTTGAAAAACGATCTGTTTATAATATTTTATTGATCAAACAAGTCTTTTGTAATGTTTTATTGTGCTTTATATAATTGTTTATATATATGTTACTGTACTTGCAATTTCGAGAATAAATAAAGTTTTTGATTGATTGATTGATAACTGTACTCGGGGGTGGCCTCCCCGTCGGGGGGGGGGGAAAGCACGATTCTTCGGGGGAGAAAAAACTATATGTATTTTCTACATATTAGTACATATTATAATACGAACACTTTGCTTTCATCAGGGAAATCTGACCCCTCGTCGGACAAATCCTGGCACCACCCATCTGTACTGTACATGCAGCAATTCATCATCATCGTGGATTGCTTTAATTGTTAGTAAAAAATATTGCCAATATAATTCCTTATTATTATTATTATTATTATTTTTTACTATATTTGAAGTATATAAATTCCTCCAAAATTTTCTTCCTGCATGCATAATGTTTTTTTGCACTTCACCAATCCATATTTAGCCAAAAGGCTGCAAGATCACAATGGTGTAATGCTGGGGCTGGGTCCTTGCGGGTGCTCTGTAAGAGCACTAGGGTCTGTTGCCCCATTGTCTATTGGAGACTCTTCGGGGGCCCTTGGGCTACTGCACTAGACCATAATTTTAGGCGTTGCATGTCTGGGAACAAAAAAAAAAAAAAAAAAAAACCTAACTGAACTGGTCTCTACTTTGGATATCCATTACTTTTTGACATTATTGAAATACTGTTCTATTTAAACTTGAATCATTTTATTTGTTGGCAGGGGTTGTGCGTGCAGGGAAGGACATAGAAGGTTCCGACACTGCAAGTATTCACGATTTTAGCCGGCCATCATCACGTACCTTCAGCATACCACTTCCTCCTCCTCCACCTCAGTTGCCGAACCACCAGGAGGCTACGGATGTGACAGATATTACAATAACCGTCCCACAATGGAACCGGCAGAGCGATGCCTTTTCTGAGATCACGGAGTCTTCTTTGAATGATACAAACATGCTTTTGAGGGAAGGTTCACAGAGGAAGAAGGTGCAGGGCTTAGAAAATGAGGGACTACAACTTGATGAGGATATTGGAGAAGCTAAAAAAGATAACACCTTGACAAGAAATGAACCTGGGTCACAGTTAGCTCCATATGAGGCCTTAAGCAGGTTATAATAGGGCAAATAATCATAATAATGATAATGAGATCTGCAAATCACCAAAGCTATAGTTTTTAACTATTTTTTATTTATCTGTAATAAGAGAATTTAATATTGATTTCTTTCCAACAAAATTTAATATTTTTGTGAATATTTTAAAATTATTGTAGAACTAAGCAATGTTGTTGCAAATATTTACAACCTGAATTAATAAAAAGATTATTTATCTATAAATATAGAGAATAATTCTAATAGTTGTATTTTCCCATAGAAATCTACAATATTATTCTTTGTGAAAATATTTGGCTGCCAGTGACTAGCGTACCTAGTATGGTATTAAAAAAGTAATAATTGCGAAGGTGAAAGGAGATATAGAAAGAAAATATGCAAGTCAAATATAATGACTGTCTTTATTTATATAAGTATGAAGATTATAGATCTGATAAAGTTTTTATAAGAACTTCTCATCAGGGTACGTTATTCACATTGTACTTAAAATAAATAATAATATTTTGATTGTCTTATTTTTGTATACATACTTTTTAACTAATGAAATATTAAATTTGAAAATATTTTATAGCTTATACTACATTGATCTGAAATTTATTTAAAAGAAAAGAAAATATATATGTGTATATGTGAGGGTAAGAATAAGAGTTTGGGATGTTCAGTCTGAAAATGCTTTTCAGTTTAAATTGAAATTCTTGCTGATTTGTTTAAAGGGGGAAATCCTCCTTAGAAAAACTTTTAAATAGAGCATGATTTTATGTAAAGCATACTGGGTATTGCCTAGTGTAAATTACAACGTTTTATAGTTACAGAATGTTAGCTTCAATTAGCCACAGTGGCTGTTCTACAAAATACACTCAGTGGAGGTTCTGCTGGGCCGGATGTTCTGTCTGATGGGGTTCTGTGAATTTCTGATCAGTAGGGTCCACAAATGTATTATGCACAAGTCATAATATTCCTGATGATGCTTAAATAATATAGAGTAAAATGGCCTTATCAATTTTTGTACATAAACTCAGTACATAAAGTCATGTAGCATGTCATAATTTTTCATTTGTTCATTCCCATAATGGCCCTGTCACACCTTGACGATTTAGCCAGCGTAAACCGGTGTATGAAAAATTTGGCAAATATGCTGACATACGTCAAATAGGTTATGGCCAAGTTTTGAGCAAGCTGAAGCACTCTAGTATACATTGTAGTATGGCAAGGTCATTGACAAATTGTTTGAATGCACACCATTTTTCGGCACATGTAGATGTACAGTATTAACATGTTCTGGAAGACCACAGAATGTATCTAACTTACAGCTACTGTATAACGGCGTCTAAGTTACCAATATGTTAAATATACGTGCAACTCATTATGAATATGCTATGTATACGCCCGAAATGGAAAAAAAAAACCCTGCTGATAATTTAGCGTTTGCCAGCATTTTAGAGAAATTTGTATACGTCGGCATACGCTGGCTAAATCGTCAAGGTGTGACAGGGACATTATAAACAAACTTATTTAATCTGGTATACTTAATAACAAAAAAACAAACAAAAAAAAATAAAAAAATTTGCTCCTTATTTTTAGTCAAATGAAGTAGTGCAAGTGATTTAAGCCTCACACTCGCAGGCTCCCCCAATGCTTAGCAATGAACCCAAGGTCATACAATGATGGTGAATAGTTATAAGAGATTCCAGCTTATTGCATTATGAAAACTGATCCCTTCCATGCATTTCATAGTTGGCTTTGTATCTGGTTGTATTTCTCGACTATAAAAATTGTACAATAATGCTTTGTATTAAATTTTATGACTATATATATGCATCTTAAATTTATGAAATTAAGAAACTTATTTAGAAATACGTGTTGTTATTAAGGTTATGTGTTTTAGGAGCAACTCGAGCAAGTTTCCACACTATCAAATTTTATGTGACATAACCATATTTGGGTGTATGACATCATTATGTCCATATATGGCACACCACACAAATTTGTCATATCAGATTTGATAATACATGGACAAAGCAAAATGTAGCAATGGAAATAAATAAAAGTCCACCAGATTTTATTACTCTCTTTCTACATTAATTGATTTGAGTTTGTTATTGATAGCAGCTACATGTGGTAGAGAAATTGAACAATTGTCCCTTTTACATTGGCCTGTACTAACACTCCTGAGATATATTTACCTTTAATCTGCATGTGTAATCCATGTAAAGTAAAAAGAAAATGAACAAAACAGATTTTGAGTTGTGCACATGTACTGTACTTATGGAGTGGAACTTATCTCATTATGACATTAAGCATATGTTTACTGTCTATGTACCAGTTGTACAAAATAGTAAGGTTTGAATTTACGGATGTAAAGACGACTGTGATTTTGGTAAGAATACTCGTGTGACAGGTAGCCCACAATCAGTGTAACATTTTGCCTCATGTGAATCGGCTCTTAGGGAGATTAAACTGTCAGTGTACACATACACCAACATTACTGGACTAAATTGGATTTCTTCAGTGTGACGTACACAGTACACAAAGGCTAACCAAAGAGAGCCTGACTGGGTCTGGGGTTTGGGATGGTCCATCTGGTGGTGAATTTGGCAGAATTTTCCGAAGAGTATATACTGCGTTCTTTAACATGCACATTGGGGTATCTGGGTCGAATTGCTGGGTCAAGAGTCGGAGCTTTGGTATTCTGCGGGTTAAGGTTTTATTATCAATTTCAGCCTCATACTTCACATGAAGATTATACAGTACTGTAGGATGTATAATATTTCAATAATCTTGATCTGAAAATGGAATTCCTCCTACTAGGCACATCCTTAACCAGCCAAAAAAATGTGGAGAGTCTAAAGCACTTCAGTGACCCGAGGTTTTCAATTTCATGGATATAGTAACTGATAAACCTAGTGAAATATTCTAATACCTCTAGATGGCTAGAAATGGCACTTTGAGACTTAAATTTGAATATACCGTAGTGTATATTTTTTCTCCACTTTTGTTTTAAAAAATTCAAGTGGAATGTATTGTACAAGCATGTCCAACAATCATCTTGCAGTAGCGAGCATTCTTCACTAGATTCAACTTCATGTCATTATAATAATGCTATTTTTTCAATCCCAATCCCATCCAATGATGTGCCAAGTCATTTATTTATATTTTCCCCATTAATAACTTAAATGTTTCTCTAAACCATACAGTAAAACAAATTTGAAATAATTTTAAGATATTGTGTATTTATTTTCAAATTAACAAAAAATACTTTATAAATATACAAAAATAAATTGAAATAAAAAAAAACAATAGATGTACAGGTACTGTATTATAATGTTTTAAAAATTTCATTTAAATATTTATTTGGCTCAAATGCTACATCAGGATCATTACGACGTAACAACACAAGCGTTGCCTGCACACCTACAGCATACAATGTCATACATTTTTTTTTTATATACCAGGTGAGGTTTATAGTCACGCACTACAATATTGCACACTTTGAGTTACAGTATAAAAAATTTATATTTTGAAAAGTCTTAATTTCAGATGGCTCGCTACCCATGATAACACTAAACACCCTGTTGATAAATTCAGGATATATAAAGATCCCTCTGTACAACAACAAACAACAAAATATTCACTATTTCCCTCGGCTGATTGCAGAAGATCGTTGTAAAATACAAAAGGTGTAGCATACACAGGAGACGTGGTTTTAAACCTCCACACCTGTTTCCCAGTTGAGGAGTGAATGCAGTAGATACATGAATCATGTGACCCAAACACTGTTAAATCATTGGTTGATGATAGACAGGGTGAAGAAAAAATTGGTGCATCCGTTTTAAAAGACCAAATCTGCAGATGGAAAAAAAATATTAACTACTGTTGCTCATTTTGTTAACTGGTATAAAAATACCAGTTTTTTGTTTTTGTTTTTTTTTACACACTCTGCAGCTAGACCAGTCAGGAAAGCAAGTATGTACTGGAACTTTAGCTAAAACTAAATAAATTTTTTTAACTCTGTATTTTATTTTTTACTTTATTTAGCATTCTTATGTTGAAGTGTTCAAAATACACACCTTAATTTTCTTTTAGTTGTTTTACTGAGTAGCTAACCGTATCCATTCAGTTTAAAAAACCAAAAATTCAAAAAAAAGAAAAAAAAAATGTAAAAAATAATGATTAATCATGTCCATTTAATGAACTGTTCATTTAAACCAGAGGTTTTTAAAACTATTATTTTAACAGGGGTCAAGTTTGTAGATTTAAGCCATTTGGAGATCCACTGATCATGCAAAGTTGCAAAGCAATGCAGTAATGTGAAATGATGTAGTTGGAACTTTATATTCATGAGTAAAATCTTGCTACTACAGTAATTTAGTAATAACCATCTGACACAGGTTTAGCCTGGAAAAAGTTGTTTACATAATGGGTTATCAGTGATATAGATCTGGCCTGGTATACACAAACACTTTTGAAAATGCATGAAAATTTTACATGATGCAGGCTTAATGACAAAAATGAGCTTTTGATCAGTCGCGGACCGTCAAGAAATGCTAAGTACGATCTGCATACCAAAGCTAAAGCTCCAACGAATATATTTTATTGTGCCTTGTGTCCGTTTCATTTAGCATTTCAGGTGGTGTGATCAGCGGTAACTTCTGGACTGAGGTTTAATCTGCAAAGGATTTTTATAACAGGACACATAACATGCACTTGCAAGCGGCATAGGGCCAATGGGCCGCCAGTTGACGACACCTGGTTCAAACTATTGATAAGGAGTGTGCTTACCATTTCATTCAATGAGCTGATGTGATAGAGGTAATTGTCAACACATCCTACCATGACGCCTTCCTTTGTTACGGCTGGCGACGAAAAGATTGGCTTGCCAATTCTATACATCCACTTAATTTCACCAGATACCTAAAATCAATTTTATAACAGAAGTTTATAATATAATATACTTATAATTTATATTAACATATATAATACAAATATGTAATATATATATTACAAGATCAACTGTTTGTAATTGTACTTTTGTATGCAGTATTTAACAGTAATAAAAATAATAATACAAATTCTTTATGCCAAAAACGCTTTTAAGCACGAATATACAGAAATAGGTAAAGTAAGGTAATAAGAAATAGGTGAAGAGATGGGCACTCAGGCCTGCTTCAGATTTTGAACCTTTACCTTTACCTTACATGACAACGCTGAACTTAAATACATAAGAAATAATTTAGTGGTACCCAAGTAATATTATAACATATGCAAAAAACTATTACAAATTTATACAATGGTATTTCAGTTTTTTTTAATGATGACATAGTTATGTCGAAATATTGAATCCCAACACTTGGAGTATGTATTATACTATCATATTTCAGTTCCATTTTGAAATAAATGTTCTTTTATTTGTGTGTGTTGGCCCATATATTTACTATTAAAACATATGTTTTTTCATATCCTTTTCTTATAGTAAAATTATAACGTATCATTGCAAAAACTATTACAAACAAATCTATATGATGGTATTTCAGTTTCAATTAAATGTACTTTTATTTGTGTGTGTTGGCCGGTGTTATTAAAACATCTATATATTTTTTTCATATCCTTTTCCTACATTGCATTTAATACAAAGATTATTGGAGTAATCTAGCTTCCTCGTTCCATGGGATGGTTTCATGACACATCATCTGCTGACTGTCAGTGGCATCCTGATTAATTGCTAAACTTTGTCAGATTGCAATTTTCATTGAATGTATCGGCTGATGATGTGTGCACACAATTTACAGTAAAAAAACACAAAAAAATAATTGCAGACTCACCAAATTGATGCAAGTTAGAATACCACTTAATGTCCCAACATAAATGGTTCCCATAGTAACATCAATGCATGGAGACGAAAACACCGAACCTCCACCACAGTGGGTAGAAAACAGACATTGCTTGTTCTATTAGTATAAGGAATAGTATAAGCATATTAATACAAACAATACATATTTAGATACAAAAAACATTAACTATCTTTGTAAATACAACAGAGAGCAGCTTTAGGCTCAGATGGCTAATCTGGTGGTAACCACTGCGTCTCCGGTTCAATTCCCCTCGCTGCCTCTCCTTGTGTTTCAGCTGAAGGGCAAGCCCTGGATTTATCAATCTCAGCTTAGCAAATGTCTTAAGTAAAAAAAGTTAAGATGTCTCAAAGCAAATATCTTAACCTGATTTATTAAACCATCTTAGTAAAATTTCAGCTTAAAAATCGTCACAGATGGCGCATGCGTACAATCGGCTTTTTAATTTTAAGCAATTTTTAAGCTAAGCAATAATGATAAATCTGACTTAAGCCAAAAAATGGACTTAAGACGAATTTAAGCTGATTTCTAGTTTGATAAATCCAGCCCTGAAATACAAGTTACAATAGTGCACTGTCTTTCGGATGAGACGTTTAAGCCTTTGGTCCTGTGTGCATTTATGGCCCATGTGCACATTAAAGAACGCTGTACACTCTTCGGAAAAGTGTAGGGGATTGTCTCCCAGTGTACTGCCCAATGACCACCAGATGGACCCCCTAGACTTTCCTGGGCTATCCTTGATGTTTACACTAAATAAATCCAATCCAATCCAACACACAGGCTTGGATGAAAATTATTAACAATTATCAAGCATCATGAATATCTTAGAAAAATAAAAGGATATACCATTTAAGTGCACACTCTAATTTTAATATCTTGTATACTAAATAACAGTGTACTGACCTTTATGTCAAGCGCATGAATATTTTGGTCATGTGAACCAACATAAATAATGCCAGTATGTGGGTGGACGATAGGTGAGCTTTTGACTGGTCCACTCGTTTTCCAAAACCAAATTATTTCTCCATTCTTTGCATTTAATATGTAAACATTATGATCATAACATCCTACAATATAAAAACAAAACAAAAAATGACACCCAAGAGCATGTGTCTGTGATTGAAGTGCAACATAATTTAAAAAAATAGTTTATATCTTTTACAATAATGAAATAAAATAATAATTATACTTTAATAATAATAATAATAATAATAATAATAATAATAATAATAATAATAATAATAATATTTATTTTAATTTTCAGTGCTGTTGCGCTTTTAAATGTTTTTTCATATGATACGGTTTTCTTTGTATTGCTCTTCTTATATGCATTTTGTATCTAACTTTGGTTTTTCTTGTACACATTAATATTTTTAAGTCTTTAATCGGTTATGATAATTTCATATTTTAATTTTCAGTGCTGTAATTTATTGCCAGTTTTCAAATGCATTTCCTCATTTTGTTGGACAATAAATTATTTCAGTATTCAGTTTCAACTGCCTTTGAAAGTGTTCTGCAAATATAGAAAAATTATTTTGAAGGTAAATGATTTTACGATTTATCTATGTTAAAATCATAAAGTATGAAAACTCACCAAATACAATATAACTTGCACACATTGAAAGGCAAGCTGATGACTCAACACGATCTCCTAGAGTTGTGCTCCAAATCGGCACCCCAGTCTTACATGAGATAGCTAGAAACTTGTGCGAGTGAGACCCAATGTACACAACAGCATTTACTCTAAAAAAAAGGAAAAACAATTTGAAGAAAGCAGGAACCATGAAAATCCATAACCTTGGTCCCCTTTCAATTCCCATAGCAGATGACCTTTAAAGCATGGTCTCCATACAATCGTAATTTCACTTGCATACATTTTTTATGTGATAAAATAAACCATTATAATAATTTAATACCTACCCATCTGTAGTAACTAAAAGCGGAGATGCATCAATACATTTGCCTGTGTCACACTTCCACTTCTCCACAATGCATACAGTCTGCTGCCCTCTGTTGACATTCTGTAGTAATTTATTTTGTTTCTTATGATGTTGCAATACTTGTGATCCTCGTCTTATGGAAGAGTATACAGTCATTGTTTCGTTTTTAATAGAACAATCCAGTGATTCTCTATTTACGTCCATTTGGAATGTATCAGCAGCATCCTTCTTGGATTTCTTTGATGATAAACTACCATCATTTTTAATCAGACCTAAAGTTCTTTTTTTAAGTTCCACGTTGTCGTGCAATGAAATCTGCTGAGAAACCTTTTCAAATTTCGAAGTACAATGTTCTGATCTCATATCAGTAAACTGTTTGTTGGTTAAAACATCATTTTGCAACAATCCACAAGGAACTGATGAGCTGCTCTGTTCCACAAAGGGAATGCTTTCAAAGTTATGTCCATGTTTAAACGTTACACAGGATTCATTTTTCACAAGTTCAAAGACTTCATGATATGTTCTATGTAGTATAAAATCTAGTAGATCCGGTATAGACCGCCCTATAACTAGTTCAATCTGGTTTAGTAGTCTCACGGCTTGGAATGAATCACCACCTAATTGAATGAAGTTACTGTCATCTTCAATTTTACTATCAACTTGAAGAATATCCTAAAACCAAAAGTACTTTTGAATTGATTTAGTTATAACAGATGGTTGGTAATTTAATTAAATGATGATTAATTAAAATATTTTAAAAACCATCAGATGGTAAAATAAAATATACACGGTTTGAAGTTCCACCCATGTTTTGCAGTGGTCATTATCTGTGCTAATTACAGACAGACAATCAGCTTATATAAATTATGATTGCATTGGAATTGTTTGTTAAAAACATTTCTTTAAAAAAAGCATTAAAAAATCAACAAAAACATCAAAATAAAAGGAATTCCAGAAACTGAATCTCTCCCAAATCCGAATTTCAGACGTATTATTCGGTCTGAAACACAAAAACCAACTTCTAAAAACCAAACAGAATGATAAACAATGACTTCCAGAATAAATAATGCAATAATCATAAGAATTAACAGCCAGGCCATGCTGTGAACGAGCGGTTTGTACCGTGTCAGTCGGAAATAGCATTGTCATGGTGCTTATACAAATGACACACCAGTAAAAATGTTAGATAAAAATAAAAAGTAAAATGTTAGATAAGGTAAAATTTGATTGTTCATTCTTTAAATTTAAGACACTTAAAAACTAAATGAAAATGAAATTTAAATGTACCACGTAACCACTGCAGTCTCCTGTTATATTTATTTGAACATAGTATGATGATCCCCACCTGACAAGCCTGTAATCAGTGCACAAATAGATAAATAGATCTTATGCTCAATAAAATAATGTACATAATTACCTTCCACAAATTATGAAGCTCTTCATTTGATAGGCAACCACCATTTTTGCACAACCTAGCCACTTTTCTTTGTTCCAGCAGCTTCTTAGCATCCACTTTACCATGCCTAGTCACTGGTAGCTCATCTAGCAGACAAACTTGATCAGGAATGCAATTCTTTGGCAGGGTGTTTTCCAGTTCCTTATATATCATGTTAAAGGACATCTGTTCCGTTAAACCGAACTTTGGCACAGCAAACAACAAGAGCTCATCAGTTTCTGTTTCATATAGCAAACAGCAACTGTTGAATATCAGAGCTGATAATATAACCTGCAAAAAAAAATGCAATAACTGGCGCATTTTACTGGAATTCAGATGAAAAATAGAACACATACATGTGTGGAAAGCATAATGAGTACTAAAATAATATATAAAACACAGTATTATCAAGAACCTAAAGCAGCTTACAATACTGAAATTTAAGTTTGACTTTAAAGGGATATAAGAATAATAATAATAATAATAATAATAATTCTTTATTGGTCCTCAATCAAATTTGAAATTTGGGCTGGGCCCTGTTGACCTGCGGCAGCCACAGTGTAGTTCCACCAAACTTATCTACAACACAGAACAGACATGTACAGAAACAAACATTGACCTTAACTCTCAATATACGGGTTATTCAAGGTGCTAAGCAATTATACCCCAACAAAAACCCAACGTTGGCCTGGTTTGAACCAAGGTCTTCAACACAGGAAGCAGGAACAATACCTCTCAGCCAACCACTGAGTTCATAATAAATATTTATGATTTATTATATTATGAATGATGACATTACGATGACACTTACATATTGAAGTCTGACCTACATTAACAACTAACAATTTACGGCACCCAGAATGTTGTCAGTTTACCTCAGTTAGTTGTTGCAGGTTGATGCGTTGTCCATGCCTCTTAATTTGTTGGTCGATCCTACCAACATACACAAGCCCCTTTGATGTAAACTGCACAATATCTCCGGATGCCCTCAACGTCCCAGGTACAAGGACACACTCATTATCCACCAGGCAAACTCTCTCTTTTCCACCTGTTGGTTTCATCATAAAATATTTGACAATAATAAAATATTTATCGCCAGCAATACAAATACTTAGAAGTGAGAAACAATATGGTATTTACTGTATATAAAAACATAAGCATTACTGCACACTTACTATGCTTAACCTATAATTTGTGTAGACACACAGACAACACAGTACAGAAAATTGAATTTAATAAATACAATTTAAGAAGTAGTTTGATTAAACAAACCTATGTAAAGATGACCTTTTCCAGAAGTTATAGCCTGCCCTCTATCATCCCTGACCTGAATCACAGTTCCAAGCAGAGGTTCCCCAAGTGGTACACTAGTTGAAAAATAATTGTACTCTACATTAATTGTATAAATTATATTCATTATAGGGATCACATTACTTGGCACATTTGGGAAAGGTACTGTATCTTTGATGGACGAATCCTTACCGTAGATGAAATTGAATTCCATCAAAAATACAAATTTGCCTTTGCTATATATTTTTCATCACATGCAGGACAGGACAGTTTGCCTTCATGGGAAATGTTGGGATGGAATGGCAGTGGAGTTGAATAGCTTGCCTTTTAATACCAGGGTTCTGGGTTCAATTCATGTACATATGTGGCAAAGACAAGCTAAACTAATCACTCGTCGAAAAAAATTGTATATAAGAGCTTTAAAATGGTAAAAAATGCATTCAACTCTGACATTTGAGGCATGTTGTGGCGAAATTGTCGCACATTCCAGTATATGAGCTATAAAATATGGGAGCTCAAAAAATTGGCTAAAAATCCAAATTTGTTTTTCACCATAGATCAACAGTTTAATGTCTTATTAATCATGTCCCAAAGTATTAGTTCTGGAAGTGGTTAATAAATTGTTTATTTAACGTTATTGTTCATAGTTCATTCTATTATACAATGTATGCAAAAATAACTTTGAAAGGCAATTACTCAAAATCATGTTTATCTTGACAAGAGTACTGTACTTTCACTTTCCAATAACTTAGGCTTGAAATGTCCAATTTGAATGAATGACCCCTCATTTTAAAGATCATATACTCAGGTATCGGAAAATACCAATAACTTGAATTTAAATTTTTGCTACAACTTAGCCATTTTGCCACAACATGCCTCATTTGTTTATTTTTATTTTATTTATATTTATTGGATTTTGTGATATATACAATCACAAGCAATTGTAACCATACAGCTGCTTTAAAGAACAATGAGAAATCAGCCTTCAAAGTTTATGATTTCTGTCATTTCACATCATCAAATCCTTAAAAGTGTTGTTTTAATATTGAAAATGGGGAAAATAACAGCATAGCATGATGTAAAAATATAACACATAAATTTGATTTTTTTAAATTTTACATATCCAGTATGTTTTAGCAAATATCTCTAAAACATGATTTGCAATGAGTGACTGGGTTGGCTTGTCTTTGCCACACACAAGGGCATGATGATGTTGTATTACAACTAAATATGGGTATATCACATTTATTTGTCACATACAATTTGACAGTTGGGACACAGCTTATGAATGTTTGAGAAGCTGGAGTAGCCCAAATACCTTTGATTTATTGCATTCTTGATGTCTTGTTCTGGAATTTGGTATAAAGATGCCCAGCTTGAAACCTCCGTGATGCCGTATATATTCCACATTGTGGTCACATTGCCTTCTGCTCTCCAGTTACATAAAACAGCTGGCACTGGGCATTGCTCACCACCAAGTACAAGTGCTCTAAGTTTAGTATCTCTACTTAAAATGGTGTTCTTTAAAAGTGTTGGTCCAAATCTTGAGACAAGGCTAGATGTGGCCTGAAAAAAAATAACACAATCAGTCCTAGATCCAAACAGGGAATGTGCTTCCCTGACTTATCTGCTAATGTTGTATTTTTGCTTTTAAATCAGAATATAACAATAACCATCTTTATTGAATATACACTTTTGTATCAATGGCACTCATGGAGTTGCGGTGCACTCAAAAAGAGATGTTACATAATGTACATAACAGAGGATGCATTAAAAACAAACACGATAAATATACACAGAGTAGTGAACCTAAAAACATATACAGACAACAATACAGCAGTCTCTTCATTGTGCCTTCTGGTTATCTTGCACTACACTACATGTCTTATTGTAGTGAATATGTAATTTTAATATAAAGCAATAATTAAAGCAGATGAAACTATTCCAAAACAATAATTCAGTAAATAAATATTATATATATTTTTTATATGGTGAATTTCATAATCTTTTGTAAATATGGTGTTTTCCTTTTTTTCACATTCTGTATTTGAATTTTAATTTTTTGGCAATTTTACAGTTTTTTTGTGTCGCCTCTTTTAATTTTTTTGGTGCTCTGTTTGATGATTCTAATTTTTCATGTTTTTTTAAACTTTGAAATGTTTTTGTCTTGCGCTTTACTTTATATTTTTATATTGTAAATATCATGCACTTCACCATTAGGCCTGAAACTTACAATACATTGAATAAATAAATTACTATTGATTCTGTAGCACCAATTCCTCGAAAGTATATAAAATCAATTGCCATACTTCATCATCTGTATAACATTCAACCTCTATCATCATTGCTGTCATTTTCAACAAGGGGTTTTCAAGAAAGGGGTTTCCAAGCCTCCCACAAGTTGCAAGTCACCCGAAAATCAGGACAAAACTAGCCTCCCATGCTCCCGCAAGCAAGCAAGATCTCCCGGTAAATAACCAATCTTCCCATAAATCCATAATTTGCATTTATTACTACTTTATTTTCAATTGTCTCAGTGCCGATTTATCACCATGAGCAGCAAAATTAAATTACGTGACTATTGCGCCAACAATGGCGGGAAAAATGTAAATACCGTAGGCTTCATAATCACAGATTCTGTTGTGATTTATATGTGTACAGTATATTATTAATTTTTGATGAATAATTGGAAAACATTATGGTATACTCTACCTGTAAAATTGTAACGTTGTTGTCTTGCAGTGCTTGTGCAAGCTTTTGTGGCATCAACTTTGTTGTCATGGGAACCATAAACAATGCAGCACCGGTAGACAAAGCCAAAAACATTTCAACAATACAAGGGTCAAATGTCAGAGGTGATGCCATAAACACGACATCATCATGTGTCACTTTCAATTTGGTTCTGAAATGTTAAACAAAAATAAAATAAAAGTCAGCCTGTTTCTTTTTATATTTCTTTATATTATTTCTTTAATTTATTTCTCTTTTTTGAAGACCTCTTTGAAATAAATAATATGAAAATAATGGACCTTTCCAAGGTGTAAATCCAATTTAACAACTGACCAGGATGGGGCCAGAAATGTGCGTGTCCTACAAACACACGTGCTGTCCCACAAACACAAGCGTGTGTGTGTGTGTGTACACAATTTTACTGTTTTAATGTTAGCAACAATATCCAAGGGGTGGGGCTTAGTGGAAAGGTCCATTATTGTGGAAGGGGTTTGGTGCAGTGGTTCTTTTTCCGTTAAGTTGCCGCCTTTATCTTATTGATTCTGGTGTTGATTTGGAAGTACACTGGGAGAAAAATCCCCTAATCTTTTCCGAATAGTGTACTGCATTCCTTAACGTGCACACAGGACTGACATCTTAAATGTCGTAACTTGCATTTCAGACCTCCAGCTGAAAAACATGAAAAGCAGTGATGGTATTGAACTGGGGGGGCCTAGACATCTCCACGGTTCAGCGCGCACACAGTTGCTACCACCAGTTTAAAATTGGGGTTTCAATCCATCACTGTGCATTTCGCTTGTGTCCTTGAGCAAGGTACTTTATCTGTGTTGCTCCTCTTCAACCAGGAGTATAAATGGGTACCCGAGGACGTTCAAGTGCAAAATGCACTGATATATTTCACGCGGAAACCTGTGGAATTGCCCCATGGGGTAATAATGTGGAAAAGCGCTCTATGCGTCTAAAACACAAAAATGTAAATATTATTATTATTATTATTATTATCATTATTATTATTATATTAATATATTAAAATTTGTTTAGATGCGTGAATGACAACTCATGAAAGACTTATTTCTGTTGGGGATCATTCTGGTGTTGAACTGGGCAGTACACCAGAAGACAATTCCTGTTTTTTTTCCCCAAAAAGTATAGCTGCATTATTTAATATGCAAATGGGCCATATTACATACGGCAGAACTGAACCAATCTCTCAGTTAACCACTGCCGCCACCACCACCTGCTGCAGCAGCAGCAACAATAACAACAACAGCAACAACAACAACAATTATTATTAATTTGTAATTTCTACCTTAAACTTATAATATTTGGAACGATGCATCTGTGAGGTACCCTGACGATTTTCGGTCTCCCGGTTGTGCCTGAAGTATGCATGGCATAGGCTATTCCAGCATTATCTTGTTCTTGCTTATGGTCACTTGCCTGAGACATTTGTTTTAACACCACCAGTTGATAGGGGAAAAGGGCTGGTGTATCCAAGCAATGAAAGTTCAACTGTTTTCCAAGTTTTTCTATAAATTGCTGATCATAAAAGAAATTTACTGTCAGTGAAAGTTGATTTGCAATCACAAATGCACAAGAAGCAAGTTCAATTCTCATATCATCTTGCTCACTTTCTTAGAAAAAGCTCATCTCTAACTATATAACCAAAGGTAACAGGCCCATAACGATGGGGGATTGGACGATCTCCCACAGAATACTGAGTTCTGCTCTACTAGATAAATGGAATTTGTTTGCATAACCTCACCCAAGGAAAATCAAGAAATGGGTATATTGGGTACTGGATATCCATAGACCGAAAGGTCCACTGATTAATCTCAGATAAGAAAGTATAATACATACTCCAAGTATTGAAATACACGCCATCGTGTTGGGATTCAATATTTCGACATTAATTATGTCATCATCAGGAATGCATAGGCTGCACAGGTTTTAGCCATAAGTTGAATTTAATGAGTATGTGTGCCTTGGCCTTATAAGCCTATGACATGCGTAGCTGGTGGACTAATGGTAGGCCTGTCCGTTCTTATTACACGTTGGATTTTTTTCTTTTTTTGTTGTTCTGGAGTATTGACAAAGGATACAAAAAGCTGATCCAATAAACAATGATCAAGACAGTCGTTTTAATCATTGTTTTACAATTCAAAAGTCATCGCCTTTGTATTCTTATGTGTTAACATATGCATGTGGTTAAAAAATTCAACAGAAAGCTTATCTGTGTTTTGTTGTAGACCTACTTTGTCGTTGATGCTGGAAAACTGTCATGTGATCCTATCTGAAGAGCACTTCATTGATGATCTACTAACATATTGCATGGTATAGCCTACTGCCTATTCTTCAATTTGCACATATCAAATTGATTCAATGTTTATTCACGAAAATGGTACTCTCCTTTGAAAGCAGCTCATACATACCAGATATAGCATTTTAAATAACCATTTGAACCCGGAAGGCCAGAAAAACGGCAGTGTCTTTAGCTGCAGTAACCCAAAAGGCCGGTATACCGGCTTTGCGGGTCAGGTGACCTTATTCGGGGTAATCACCTGACCAGTATGACTAATATGACCTAATTTTAGGACATCATCATTCTGAAGTCGTTCTGACAGCTCGTACGTGTGGATTTTTTTGAAAAAACAAATTTATATTGAATAATTTAACAATGAATTCCAACAATGCTTTACGATTGATACTTGATGACTCCCAAGAAAATATTGATGAGGATAATTATCAGAAAGCGATTTAGAAAGTGAAAGTGAGGTATAAACAGTGTAGTTTCTAGCCCTAGGCCTTCAGATCAAGATAGTGCTAGTACCAGTGGTAGTGATGATAATTTTGCCTTCGGGTTGGTGGATGGCTATGGTGGCAGTAGAAGTAGTGGCGACACCGATGGAGGAGGTGGTGGCGATGATGCTGGTCACCAAGGACGCGGTCGCGGTAGGGAACTTAGCCTGATGCTAGACTATTTATTATTAAATAATATTTAATATTTAATATTAATATTAAATATTAAATATTATTATTTTAATATTTTTATTTATTTATTTATTTTTTATTTTTATAATAATTTTCCAATTGAGCTCCGGGACTGCAAAATAGAAAATACAATTAAACTTAAGTTGAAACAATATATTTTAAACTCTTAGCCGTTCTTTATTGCCGTTTTATTGAGCTATTCTTATTATTACATTGTTTGATTTTATTCTATATTATACTATATTATATTACATTATATTAGGCATTATAAATTAAACCTATATTTTGAATTGTCTTTATGTAAGTCAATTTAATACTTTTAAGACTTGTTATGAGGATTGTATGTTATTATTATTATTATTATTATTACGGTATTATTATGTTGTAATGATGTTGTTTGTACTGTTTTTTAATTTTATTAAAGAGGGCCCCTGAATATCAGTTAACCTACTGGGCTAAACTGGAATGGTTACCCTCTTTAAAGATGGTGGAAATAAAAAATAAAAATAAATAAATTGATGTCGGTAGCCATATACAGTACAGGCGTGAATTATCGCTTTTTATCTGCGCGTACCACTCGTAACCTGCTCGTAGGTACCATTTGGAAAGTAGCTAAGAACTAGCCAATAAAATTCTCAAATATAAATCTAGTTATATGTTGTTATTGTTGTGCTTTAAAGATAATAAAAAGAATTATTTAAATTAACTTCTCCATTGTTGTAATCACTCAGTGTACCATTTTCAAGTTGTATGAACGGTGTGTGACGTGTGTGAACCCATCACCGCTCGAGACCACATGGTTTGTCGGAAGTACTTCCCTATATTCAAACTAAAAGTACCATCATTTAGTGTTTATAATGAATAATGTGTTGTTTCCTATACGTACCCGCTCGTCTTGCAAATTGACATTGAATGCAAAAATCATCAGAGATTTTCTCATTTCCTGTGCATAGCCGAGTTTTGCAATGGGATGTAGAATACAATCACCAAAGCCCTACACAATGAACAAGGAATATGAAAACAGAGAATACAACATGTCATCTCTTTAAAAAAATATTTTTAGGTAATTTAATTTTATGGAGTATCTAATTAAAATTGCAATTATTAAATTCAGTGCTCAATACAGATCAAAACAAGATCAAACACAATTACTAGTCCAGTCAATCTGTTGATTGTCCCAGAATTAATTTCAACAGAAATAATTCTTGCAGAATGACTCTTACAGAATCTGAAATATACACAAAATAACATAATAGAACTCCGAAAAAAATCTAATCACGGGAACATTGTTAATTAAATAACTTGTGAACGCAGTTGAATCAAACCAGACGCATTGGTAACACTAACACAATGATTAACGCGTAGTTTTACACACTGTACTCTGCATTGCCTGCTGATAATTTAATTCCAAGCCAACCAACAGTGAAAAATCGCCACAAGGATGAACACAAAATTATGAACTCTAATACAGAAATACAAGCAGGACAATCCTGCTGATAATACATTTATTTATTTATTTCCAAGCCAACAGCAAAACATCGCCACTTAAGGAATGACACAACATGTAAAATATGGACTCTAAATTAAATACAGAATTGAGAAACAAAACAGTCAGAGACATTAACTTACACCAAGATACTTCTTAAAATGAGCAATCGGACATGTTAAAAACTATAAAGATATCAATGTTAATATTTTGATTTTGTAATCACTCGAACCGAATACCGTTTTATATACAGTAAGCCTAAACAGTCAGTAGCTATAGGCACGGCGCAGCCTGCTGTAATAAAGAACCTCCTAGAAACAGTTTTTGTACCACAAATCTTATCTGTGTTGTATTACCAAAATCAAATACAGTTACTGTATGTGTTGGTACTTTCATCTAAATGCATCATCTTTTTATTTCGCGTTTCATTTTTTAAATTTTTTATTCCCAATTTCATTAAAACAATTAAAAATAAATGTACTGTATTATGATTTCAATTAAATCATTATAAAAATGTTTGCTGGTCCCTTAAGAGGGGTGGTCTAATGTAGAGTTTCTAGTGCACAGGGGGCCTGTCTATTTTAAATATGAATGGTGGGTGGAAGAAGAACATAATAAACGATCTACATGGGTATCATGAAACCAGTACTGTAGGCCTATTCACCATTAGATTATCACACATAGTGTCTTACAGTATAGCTCTATCGAAATCGAAGGAAAATGTCTAAAACACCGTTTCATATATGGTCGCGAGTTTCTCAGTATTTTCATATCGGTTACAGTGTCGACGATTTTGGATATCCTTCACACTGAGGGATTTCGAATCCACAGATCAACTGTATGTTCGATTTTGAAGCGATTCGAAACAAACAAGATTATTAGGGATTGTCGTCGATCTGGACTTCCCGCCAAAGTTATTGACCAGCACTTGGACATCATTGACGAAGCCATGACGGAAAATGATGAAAGGACAGCAAGAGAACTCCAAGAAATTATTCTACAGACAACTGGTGACTTCCTGTCTATAACTACCGTTAAGAAGACAAGGAGAAAGTTGCGATGGGTGTGTGAGGGAACGCGGTATTGCCAGTCAATCAGGACACCGAATAAAGTTGACCATTTGAGATGCTGTGGCTTGCATTAGAAACAAAGAAACATTTCTTGACGTAATATTCACAGATGAATGTACAGTGGAGTTGGACCACCATGCGAGAATGAAACGAACCTCGAAAGTTAAAGCCGAAACACAAGCAAACACATCACACTTCATGTCTGGTCGGTTGGCCCTGCCGATCGTAATATTTGATGGCATAATGCGAACGGAATTCTATATTAATTCCATTCTGGATGCGGCCGTGAAACCATTTGCTGGCACCCACTTCCCCAACGGTTATCGTTTTATGCAAGATAAGTACGACCCCAAACATACGGCTAATGCTACGAAACAGTACCTGATAGAGAGATCAACTGGTGGAAAACTCCTGCTGAAAGTCCGATCTAAACCCCATTGAACATTGAGCTCATCGATGGAATCAAGACATTTTGGACAGAAACAATGAACCCTGACTTACAGTAGTTGAGAGGCCACCAAATGCTACAACTAACAACAGGTGTGTTATGTAATACAAAATATGAAAGTGGTAAACGAGCCAATCCTCATTTGAAAGATAAAGGCTTGCCTAAACGAAGACAGTATATTGGTGCACATCTTGCAAGGAATTCTATGCATAGGGAACTCGAAATCAAACTGGGCTGGCCTTAAAACGTGAGGAGCAATATATTCTTTACATTACTGAACTCTTGTGGATAAACACTTTCCTGTAAAGGCATGTGACAAAAAGTGTCATCTTTAAAGAACTCCGATGCCAAGACTTGGTGTGGCGTCATACAAAGCAGTTACTAAACTTGGAACCTAAACCAATACTTTATTAGGACTTGTAAATGAACTATTTGATGGAGAAATTAAAGTGAACTCATGAAAAGTATTAACTTCCACTTCCAATCAATTACCTCAGATATACAACCTATCGAACCTCCACTAACGGCAGAAGACCCGATTGTCATGCCAGATCATTTGATTATCTAACCTAGTGTAATGGAAGGGAAACTATGATCTGTTAAAACGAATAAGGAACGTAATTTTACGCGAGTTTGCACAAATTATTGCTAAGCCCTTATGTGCCATTGCAAAGTCTAGCATGAGGGACTCACGGATTCCTCATGACTGGAAGCGAGCTAATATTATTCCCATCCCAAATGTGACAATGGCAAAGAAAATAGAAAGCGATCTTTGAACGATATCATTGATATCTGTGTCTGCAAAAAACAGTCGAGAGTATTATTGGCGGCTTCATCTGGGATAAAATTAACGCTAACCAAATTGGATGCACCAAAGGTGTGTCCACCGTAGATGCAATACTATCACTTTAACACGAGTCGTATTAGGCTATAGATAAAAGAGAAGTGAGGGTACTGCCATTAGACTTTACCAAAGATTATTGATCTTTATAGACCACACCATACTGGTAGAGAAACTGGAAGCAATGGGTGTGGATACTAGTGTCATGGGTGACAGCCTTCCTGAGCAACCAAAGCCACCGGGGAAAGCTAAATAATTCAGTATCTTACTGGGTAAAACCAAATGGTGGAATACTCCAGGGATCATGGCTTGGTCCCGTATTATGTATTGCCTACATAAACGATCTGCAAACAAACCTACCCAAGACAAAATATATGGATGATACCACATTTTACAAAAGAGTTTAAAAACAATCCGAAAATCTCCTCCAAAGTGAGATATGTGCTGTGACCACATGGTGCTCAGAAAATAAAATGCGACTAAACAGCAAGAAATCTGTCGAGCTAATAGTAAGCTCTAAGAGATCCCCCACATTATTCCAACCAACTATAAATCTAGATTCTGAAATCGTTTGTGTCCAGGCAGTCAAACTTCTTGGAATTCATCTCCAGCAGAATCTTGCATGGCACACACACATTGAGTATCGCTAAAAAACGCTGTGCACCCAGGTTGTACTTTTTAAAGCAACTTCGCCGCTCTGGTTTATCCCAATTTGATCTCCTTTACTTTTATCAGTCGGTAGTCCAACCTGTTCTAGAATACAGTTGCTTTGTCTGGGGGATGAGCATAACACTAGAACAAAACAAACAACTGGAATCAATTAAAAGACGAGCAATTAGAACAATTTTTTCTTCAACTTCGTACAATACTACCTTAATCCAATGCAATATCCCAACCATCTATGACCATCGTTTATCACTTGGCAAAAAATACTTTTCAAAGCTTAAAAACCCACATCATGGATTAAATTACCTCCTTCCAGATTGCCCCTCCCACAATCACTGTTTGAGAACTAGAAGAGAACCGAGAGATTTAAGAATTTTATTATAAGCTATGGCATTTTTCATAAATGGAAAGCTCTGATAACTAAAAAATAAATTAACAAATTAAAATGACTCAATTGTGATCCCCGACAGATCTAAATGCAGTTTTTTGTATTAACTGTTTCATTTTAAACAATCTAATTAATTTATACCCTAATTAATTTATCTCTCAAATGTACCGCTTTTTTACCCTTATTGTACAGTATTTGAAATTTCTTTAAATTATTTTGAATGTAGTATGTGTTCTCGATGTGAATTTCTTCTTTTTTCAATGAATGTTAATATATGAACCTTATTTTTAATTATCAAAATATTCAACCCTCATTTTATCACTTTTTACCAATTCTTTACCCAAATGATGTATATAAAATTTATTAATTATAAAAATTTTTAATGTATTTAAACCGTATTATATTTTTATATTTTTTTATGCGATATTTTTTGAGTTTATCTTAATTCAATTTTCATTGTTAAACATCAATTTGCTTACAAATTGCAATAAAGATTACTTTATATTTGAATTGAATTGAACTGATAGGCATACAAAGGTTGCATACTGGCAATAAAGTAAATACAAACATACTTTTTATGTTTACAAACATGTTTTATTCAGTAAAATACAATTGTATGTAATCAGACAATTAACATCATGATTGTAATAAAAAAAAAAAAAACAGATTTTGTTCAAATAGCACAGGATGAGGGTGCCGCAAGATGTAAATAATGCAGGGCTCAAAGGGTTAAAGGTCATGCTTTTCAACATTTTTTGAAAAAGATCCCCCCATTACCAAAGCTGGTTACGGGCCTGACCAGTGTGACACTTTCAGGTTTGGAGCCAAAGAGGAGGCGGCCGGGTGGGCAAGGGTTGGCCTCCCCTTGTCGGAGGGAAAAAAAATTGTTGAGAAAACCAATTTATAGCAATAAAATAAGCCCTCTAAACCCTGAAACTGTCCTCAAAGAAATTTTTAGCCACATCTGACTATGTCCACCATCGTTTAGGATATCTGCCCCCACCATCGGGGATATCAGACCCCTTGTTGGGTAAATCATGGAAAATGTTGAACAAAAAATTACACTAAAAGTAGTTAAATATCACACTATACCAAAATTAGGTATAATGTATTAGTTAAATATTACACTATACCTAATTTTGCTAGCTGAAGTTATAGTAGTTTTATGCATCATCATAGACCTTTTTTGTTATGTTCACTTAGAAGTTAGGAAAGGTGTGATGTCGTTTACAGTGATATTAAAGGAAATATGGTTGTTGTAGTGGTTGTTATATACATAACTTTGTGAAATATTTTGTACTGTAATTATGAAGATACATATGTAGCGGTTTATGATTTAAGTAGACAGTTTGATGGGTGAATAGAATTTGTTGCATAGAAGTATTTCATTGTGGTCCTCTAATGAAGACATTTTCAGAAGGCGCATTATAATTACATCATGCAGCTTTTTACTGTGATTTTTTTGAAATTACAAAATATTTTTACTTTTGTATGTATTTGTATTATATCCAAACACATTAGGAAATATGTCATGTTTATATATATATATGTATATTATATATATATATATATATATATATATATACAAATATAATGCAATTGCTGTAATGTTATTTCCAGTTGTACTAATGTTGCACTGAACTGGCACAAGGTCTATCCATTACTGGGCTATCCATCAACTGGTTATTCCATGGTTGGAATGGAATGTAATCCATTGAAAATGAAAGGCACTTTAATCATGAACTATTACAGGCACATCAGTCTATAGGTACACGAACGTTATCTTCATCATTACCATATGGACAACGGCGTCTAGGTGACGACGACAGTAGCCATGGTAAATCGCGAAAAAATGAAATCCACTCCGCCCCCATTAAATACGACTGTCGGCCTACATTTTATGTAATTAATATCTGATCTAACATATTACGTACCTAGGCCTATGTGGTTGGCCTAGGATAGCCAAGTGTAGAGTACGAATAGCTACCAATGCGTATGTAGGGAAGTTAATCCTCCAAGAGCAATGCTGAAAAGCTACCGTCTCGATGGACCTTGCTATCAATGTATATCTCTAACGTCCTCGTCATCAACCACACCACAGTGCGGCAACACGAAATGTGCTGTACATACACTCATCACCACTGACTGATTTGAATGTGTGGTTTAATACACATAAAAGTTGCATTTATGCGTGGTTTAATACACATAAAAGTTGCCTTTATGTGTGGTTTAATACACATAAAAGCAACTTGTAGCCTACATTTCCTGTAATATCTGAGCTAGGCCTAGGCCTACACACACGTACCCCACCAGCCTATAATTGGTTCGTCTTCGTCTAGGCCAGCCTGTATTACAGTACATTGACACGAAATGTACATTGTTTTTCTCTCAGAGAGAGAGAGAGAGAGAGAGAGAGAGCTGAGAAACACCACCCACCCTTGCAAGCACCACAAAACGGCTCATTTTTCGCTACCAACTTGACTCGTGCAGACACATTTATTAGACACAAAGCTTACCATTCCAGGCCGTGATTGGTTTATAAACACAATGGTGGAATATACAGGCGATTTGCAATCTGATCAATGGCAAACATGCTTTCATAGGAAACCCATCTTAGTGTTAAGAGATATGATATAAAAACATACTACAGTATTTCACATTTCCCGACTATATCTTCGTGAAAACTCTTCATACTTTAAATTCCCCAAGCCTTATCTTCCATATTATTGCAAGATCGGCCTAATCGTGCCACAAACGAAGGAAGAGATAGAAAAAAAAAATGACTTCAAAATTCGCTCAGAATCATCATATAAGCCATCTCTCTCAGAGAGTGAGCTAAAAATTAAGGTTGGTATAAAAGATTTTGGCAAAGAAATGCTAAATAAAATGAAAAGGCAAAATAAAATATTTTCTTTTGAATGTTTTAGCTTGGGTACACAGAGCATGTATCTTGCTTGCCTTGACAGTCTGCGAATGCAATTGCACCCCAGCGCACCTCACCCATTTCAATACTCCTACATATGCATCCGGGTAAATCTTTGATTTCATATGATCTCAAATTATCCAAATGTACATGTTTTACTCACCGGACTATCTCTTTTCATACAAATAACATGTTCAATGTTAAGCTTGCTGAAAATGAATTCATTGAGGGCAGTATTTGCCTGAAAACCTACAGGAACAAAGCAGGCTGGCAGTTTCAGAATCCTGTGAAAAAAATAATACAAATCCAATACAGAGTAAATAAATATACCGTAATCAAGAATTTAATGAAATCGTAAATCATATTTTTTACAATTCATAACCATCTAATTGAGAAATTCTATTTACAAAATTAATTTGTCCACTATTTGCACATGGTATTTTTATGGAAATAAAAAACATAACATAATAATTTAAAAGTCTATGGAAGCACACTGGAACCATCAAAACCTAGGGCCTTCAGCCCACTTTTATGCCAAAAAAAAAAAAATCACCATCAGCAGAATCAAACTCCTTTTCCTTTCATTATAAAATTTTCAGGAAACAGACAATTAAATAATTTTAATTTTTGCAATAGTTTGGTGGATTATGAATAAAAAAGCAGAAACAAAGCCACAAAGCTAAACTGTCCTTGTGCAGAGACTATCAGTAACTTAATATGTTCTTGAAAAGAAAATTAAGATAGAAAATGAAGCTTTCCAGTGTGGTGTCACCAGGAATTGCCAGACAGGGGTCTGATGTTCATAAAAGGAAGGGTCAAGGGCAGACCAGAACCCCTCAAATGAGGCTAGGGGAAGCCTCGGAAACGTCAACAATTCAGGGATTTGAAAGGCTTATTTAATCGATTTTAGAGTCGAACATTCTGTAAAAATTACCTTTTTTTTTTCTTTCGAATTGGGTACTTTGTATTTGTATCCATTAGGGGTGTGATGTCAATTAATTTTTTTTTTTATAATTTGATAATTAAGAAATACAGAATTGTGAAAAAAAAATAGGGAAAAAAAGTAACAGAAGTTGGTTTAATATTAGAAACAGGCAAATGTCATCAGAATCAAAATATTTTACTAAGGAATTTAAATATACACAGAAGGTCTACTTCACAAATAATAAATTTTACCCTAAAATGATGGCTGGAATATGGATAGATGTTGAAGATATTACACCGATAAATTTTCTGCTGCAATTAATATCTTTTAAAACAGATGCCACTATATTAGACAGTTCTGAAACATCAGCATATGTTGAAGTAGTAGACAAGCCATTTCCACTGTGCATAAGCAGGGCAGTTTTGTCCTTTCTCCCAAGAGCGAAGCCTTCCTCAAAGAGATCTGACAGGTTACTTGACTGATCCATTCTAATGAGTACTAAACAAAAGAAGATATATAAATAGATTGATCTTATTATTATTATTGTTCATTCAAAATTTTAAAAAATACACTAATAATCAGGTTTCAACTGTCCTGCTTTGCAGTGCTGATACGAAATAAAAAAAAAAATCTTTTCTGCACCGTGGCATTTCTTAGTAAAAACAGTGCTCTAAAGTTCATTCCTATTCCTGTAAATTGGGCTTTGATTTCCGTCCACGTATTTTGGAAAGCGAGTGCCAATTCTGAAAGCAAAATTTTTTTTGCAGGAAATTAGGCCTTAATACACTAAAACACTACAATACTATACAACTACTGTATGTATACTGTGAAGTATTTTCATTTTGCACAGAGGATATAACAGCAACTAAATTTGTGCAAAAAATCAATAGGAAAATAGGAGCGCAGAATTAAACTTGCTGTTTTTCCAGAGTGCATACCGGTATTAAGGCCTGCGTGGGGAATATATCTTCTGCACAAAAATTAGGCCTATAGAATTCCGTCCGCACATTTTGGAAAATAAGGGTCGATTTCCTAGCACTGCAGATTTGGCCAAAAACTGGGCTTTGATCTTATTTTAAATATAACCAATGTATACTATTATGCAGCAGTTACGATTCTGCGTGTATATTTTCTAGCGACTATCCGTGCAAATTTGCGCTAGTTTTTGAGGTATCATCGGTGCAATTTAAATACTTTACCATACAGTTGCTTTTATACATTGAAATGAGAGATAGGCCAAGGCCTAATTTCTGCCAAAAAAATGACAGGAAAACAGCCCAAATTGGACAGATAGAATTATAGACCTAATTTTTGAATGGGGAATATAGGCATAGGGCTACACACAAAATTAATTTTTCTCTACACTAGACTAGGCCATACTTCCTATAGCAAAGACTTTACATGAAAATTTGAGTTTTTGAGATTTCCTAATATAAATAAAAAACTTTACAGGTGTAAGGTACTACTCCTTTCGCACTGGCTACATGAATACGGTATCTGACCAGTTTGTCGAAAAATCCAGTTTGCCAAGTTAATGGCCACTTTGCCTAATCCAGTTCAGCAAAATTATAACACAGCTTGCCAAAACCCAGTTTGCCGAATCTTGCTGTCACCATCGTACATCGTGCTTTTGAAAACATGATGGGTGGGTCAGGGAGGCATCATATTTATTTGAATAAACACCCCACTTTGAATAAACTCCCCCTGTAAAGCCAAATTTGAAATATACGCCTCCATCAAAAATACCCATTGACTTTCCGATGCACCACCGTGCCTGTACAGGTGCAGGTATGGTAAAAGTGCTCCAACGTGAATTTTATGCTATTGTTCATGCTGCACACTGCTTTTGATTGATTTCGGCAAAATGGGATTCATGGTTTTTGAGTCGGCATTCGGCAAAATGGCATTCAGCAAACATGTCTTCATCAAACCAGGATTCGTTAGGCAAAGTGGACTTGGGTGTCTATAAAACGAAGACCGAAGACGCAAAAACGAAGACCCCTATTTTTTCTCTTTAATTTTGAAAATACACCAGGCTGTCACAAAATCAATATTACTAAATTTGTTGGGCGTCTGTTTGTGAACAACGCCCTAGTGTAGGCTATTCCTAGGCCTAGCTAACTTTAGTACAGTGGTGTATGTAGCCTAGCTAGGCCTAGTGTAGTAGATGGTAGTAGTGGTAGGCTTAGCCTAGGCCTATGCCCTGGCTGGGGTCAGGCAGGGCGGATTAGGGAGACTTCGTCCGCCAACAATATCGGCCGCCACCGAGCGAGTGCCAAAAAGTATGGAGCGGCGGTAATTCTGTCTTTTTGCTTGCTTTCAATCTAAGAGCGCTCGCTGTGTTCAGTGTTTTATGTCAATTAAGCAATGAAGTTCATTCATTGTGTAATTTTGTTTTCTTTTTTAGCTTTCCAGTATTGAACGGAATAACGTTTGAACCGATGTTGAATCAACGAACATTAATTGTATAAATATACTGTACAATAAAAGTGAGATATAAAAGATCAAAGAATACATGTTTTTTTTTAGAATCAATTGTGCCGGCCCTATTTTTGTATCCTACTTTACTTTTATAACATTTATGAGTATAAATATATAATAAAAGTGATGAAAAAGAACAAGGATAACATGTTTTTTACCATTAATTGCGCTATATTTTGTATCCCACTTTACTTATATAAGGTTTATGAGAATTTCTTCCCAAATAATAAAGTATATTAATGTCATTTATGATTGTGATATTGATTTTAATAATCATTCATTAGTAACTGTATTTTTAGGGTTCGTATGGTTTGTATAATGTACAAGATTAAAATATGAATGATAGACATGTAAATAGATGAAGAGCTATGCTCGAAAAACGTATTATTTTGAATAATGAAAATATTGGCAATATCATACTTTACGCTTTCGCGTTATTATGTATTTGTGTATCATTGCCTTTGCAGCAGCCACTCTCCTTTTATAGGTACTGTAGATAGAATGTATTAAAAAAAAATTTTATACCCACAATATTAAAATTTTTAACAATTAGGGCCTAAGACAATAAAATTAATTCATGCAGTTCTGTATTGTTGCTTTTACTTTGCCATTAATTGAAATAAACTGCTTATAGGCAACAAAATACAAAGTTGCCTGTACTGCAAGTTGCCTGTACTGCAAGTTGCCTAGTAACAGTGAAATCAAGTAAGAAACATTCCAACAAGTAGGTTCCCACAACGCTATTGGGAGAAGCAGACACAAGATCAGTCACCTTTGTAGTTTGATTCTTTGTACGCCGCCAATTCAGGAATGTAGGCGCACTAATGCTGCTGTTTCTAGCCGCGAGAATATCTGACTGGCTTGTTCTATCTAGCCTACAAACATGTGATATACTTTTTTATTTGCTTTGCTTTTAAAACTTACGAAGTTGTATGAATAAATTCTGAACAGACATAACATGGATGAAGGAAGGAAACAGATGAAACATGTGCACTTACTTTTCTAGAGATTTTTGCACAAATTTGAATTGGTTTTTTGATGTATCAACGCAAAATATTTTAGAAGTGGAAAGTTAGCGTTCAAATTTATTAAGATATACAAATATCAAATAATATTTACAGTACACAGTACTGGACTTGGTTAGAGCAGAGCGCAAAAATCAGAAAGAATACGCCTTATTCACGAATCGGTAGACATCTTGAAGTGATGACAAACATTGCGAATCAGCGGTGCGTAACCAACAGAAATAAGATAAGCTTTTGGGATGATTTTCTGACATCATGTTATTTAAAAAATCATAACTCCATAACGGGGCGTCGTATCCAAAAAGTGTTTCCAGGAAAATGTTCTTAAAAGACCAGTCTACACCAATATATGATTGAAAAAAAATTGAAAAATTTTTTTGACCTCTAAAATCAAGATTGAAAAAGAAAAGCCCATCTTAGTAGTGTATTAAAATAGGCCAATGCATTACAGTACAATAGCATAGGACTTTCGAGTTGTTACTGTTCCAAGTAGCGATAATATACATATTTCTCTTATTACAAAGTACAAGTTATGTTTTATAAAGAGGTATAGTATAGTAAATCATGTTTTTAACACAGGAAACTCTTATATGGTAACTAAAACAATGCTAGTTCAGAGTATTACTAGTACTACAGCACTGTAATGCATATACCTATTTTAATACACTACTGAGATAGGCTTTTATTTTTCAATCTTGATTTCAGAGGTCAACAAA